CTGGCTAGCCTCAAACTCAGAAATCGATCTGCTTCTGCACCCCCAGTGCTGGGGTTAAAGGCATCGGTTACGAAGTTTGGCAACTTTTTTTTTTAAACAACTTATTTCAACTGAAGCATTTGTCATAGGTATGAAAACTAACACAGAGGACAATGAAGTAGACACAACCATGAAATGGCCAGTCTATAAACTAGCAAGGATGCAGGACAGTGGTGGTTAGCAGCCCACCTTTAATCCCAGTTCTTGGGAGGCAGAGACAGGCAGTTGGATCTCTGTGAGCTGGAGGCCAGTCTGCTATACAGTTTGTTCCAGGATAGTCAGGACTGTTACACAGAAACCCTGTCTCAAAAAACCACAAATAAAATAAACACAAAACAAAGCAATAAAACCAACTAGTAAGAAGAGGCAGAAGCTAGAATTGAAAAGAAGAAACAAGTTTATACTAAACTCTGGCCTGATGAAATGCTGAATCTTAAAAAATTGTAGCATCCCCATTCAGAGAAGCTTGCATGAAATGTGTACACAGGGAAGACAAACATCACCTGGATGATGTTAATATGTCCAAATCTACTATTAAAGAACTGCACTCACCTAGCATGTATGACATTCTGGGAATGCTCCTGTAAAGAGTATTTTTAATGAGTGAGCCTATTATAAATTCTCCAAAATCTTACTGATAACTTTAAGGTTTTCATTTTTCCTAAGTACGAAACACAGTGTTGCATTACTAAGTATTTAACCTGGCACCTAGGTTGAAAGCTACAAATACATTTCTGAACTAGTTGTTTTAAATGTAATAGAATTTCTTATGGAGCCACTGCACAAGTTGAACCCTTTTAAAATACATGTTAATGAGCTCTTACTGCATTTATAGACAACACAGGACTTCTTGCCTTTTGCAGAGAAAGTTTTTCTGAAACCTGCAGTACTGTTTTACCTCAAAGAGGTACTCTTTAACCTCTGTTGATCATCATCTGCTCCTAACCCCTAAGAAACCAGCCCAGCAGCCAGAATCACTCAACAGTACATCTAATTTAAATCAAGAAAAACAAAACTGCCAGTAACTCTCAGAAGACCAATAACCTTGAAAATACCCCACAACTATACGTTGTGGTCTTAGTTCTTTTCCTTTCAGGGCATGAACATATCTGGAATAAAAGAAAATGACTATGAATTGAATACAGCAACTCAGCACAAAGCTTGGAAGTGGAGAGCCTGATACAACGATTCACACTTTTCTGCTTTAAAAAAAATGGCAGAAATCATAAAGCATGATCATCATGAATTTGAAAGGAATGTTAGTATTTTTACTTTTCATTAGTTATTAAATTCTAGGTTTTGAAAACAATCAAAGAACTACAAAGTGATATTGTTATCACACTGTTTTATGTCCACACTTTTTACAAAGAATATCTTTTTTTCCCTAGTTTTTTGAGACAGGGTTTTTCTGTGAAAAAGCTCTAGCTGTCCTTGAACTTGATTTGTAGACCAGACTGGCCTCAAACTCACAGAGATCCTCTTGCCTCTGCCTCCCAAGTGCTGGAATTAAAGGTGTACACCACCACCACCCATGTATGTAGTTTTGATTACAGAATGACAAATGTCACTAAAAGCATACATACTAAAAAAGTCACAGGCTTTACTAAACTTTAGTAAACTAAAGTTAGTGAATAAGAAACATAGTTTAATGCAAGGTAGTGTAGCACAGGACTTTAACCCCAAACAAGAGACAGGGGCAGGTGGATCTCCAGTTCTATGCAAGCATGGTCTACAAAAGTGAGTTCTAGGACAATCAGGGCTACATAGAGAAACCCTAAAAAACAAAAACAAAAACAACGACTTTGCCATTTGAATACTTCCACTATCAGAGTATTGAGATGTTCCCCAAAATAAAGATGACATTGACTTATTTCCAAACATATAAACACAGACTTTTCTTTGAGAGAAAGGGTCTTGTGTATCCCACCTTGGCCTTAAACCGGCTATACAGCCAAGGCTGACATTGAACTTAGATCCTTCTGCCTATAACAAGTGTTAAAGTACAGGTGTGTAACAATTGTCAATTTAAGTGGTGTTGGTGACTGAACCTAGGGCTTCCAGTATGCCAGAAAATAACTCTAACCAATGCTACACCCCAGTCCAACATAATTTAGTTTATAAGGAATAGCATAGAGTACAAACAGTGCACTTACCCACACAGACACAGACACAGACACAGACACACACACACACTATTCTATCAAAGCAGCAGTGTACAGTTCCATTACTACAGCAGATGAAAGGAAAACCTTACAATCAGAGATGACTGGTAGTTGTGAGCAGAGAAGTGATTAGCAGACTCAGAAGGACACACACATGTGGCCTCACAAACAAATATATTTAGCACAGAAGATTACAAGGTGAGGATGAAAGAGAAAAAGAGAATTAAAGACAAAATGTGGTATACTACTATTGTGTATACATGCTATATATCCACACATAAATTACTAAACTACCTAAAAGAACCGTGAGGAGTGGTTCTTACTGGACGCACAGCTGCCCACTCCCACCCCCCAGTACCTTTGCAGGGTTAGTTGATTTCAGAATAAATCACCTGGTCCCTTCCTAGCTATGATCAGCTCTGGCAGAAAGCCTCCAACCTGATTAAGGACATTTTAAGCTTTAATTGCCTATCTTACCTAAAATTAAAACAAGGAAGTAGAATGGCTTAATGTGAAAAGCTTAGGAAACAGGTCCCTGGAATAATGGAGCCGTATTCCATGAACAAATTGTTTTTTGTATTGTTTTGTGCCTTGGAGCAGGGTTTCACACTACCCAGCCTGGCCTTGAACTTGCTGTTCATCAGAGAATGACCTTGAACTTCTGATCTCCCTGCCTCTAGCTCCCAAGTATGGGGTTCCAAATGTGTTACATGCCTGGCTTCCACAAATATGATATGCTATACCTCTTGATTGAGACATAGATTATGAAAAAATGTAACCTCTATATGTCTATATATGGCTGAGCATTATACACAACCTATTCTCAACCCTATTTAACCTAACGATGGTGGGATATTTATTTTGAAAGGAAGGACACTGTTCTTGGAGAAAAACAATGCCCTATGACAATGTGCACATCATTTGACTATTAAGTACCTGTTTCCAGTCTGTAAAGTGGGACAATACTTTCTACCCTTACTCTGACTGTGTTGGGGGATCAAATAAAAAAAAACCACATTAAAGTATTTGTAAACTGCTACAATTACAACTATATAAGGTTCCCCCTTTTGCTTTTATAAACTTTCTCCAAAATTAAGAGTGACACTGTAAGGTTAGAATAAATATCCAGATACAGAAATTATAAATACAGTTTGAAGTACACAAGACTTCCATAGGACAATACAGAAGTACTGATTAGGAATATGGAGTCTGTCCTGGAGTCTGAACATTCATTATGAGTTCTAGGTGGAATTATAGTACAGTTCTGATGCAAAATGATAGTTACATACTTACTCCCCACACCCCCAAACTCTGCCGAGCTCCTTTACCCCACCACCAAGTTGCACTGCATTACTTTTGTGTAAATCACTGGGAGTAACTTCAGTCTGATGGTGCATGGGGAAGGACTTCAACTCTGCAAGGTCCTCCCCAATAACTTTAACAACCACTCTCCACCCTCTGTGGGCCTGACCCAGAAGAATATAACTGTTCCAGGTAAGAAAAGGGCTGTCAAAGACGTCTTTCTTGTTCTCGTTTTCCAAGACAGGTTTCTCCTTGTAACAGCCCAGGCTGTTCTGGAACTCGCTTTGTAGGTTAGGCTGGCCTCGAACTCGCATAGATCCCCCTGCCTCTATGTGAGTCACCATGCCCCACACAAAGTATCTTTCTTGTAGATTCATTTTTGTGACTGTGGACACCAGCAGTAAAACTACTCACTCCCTCACTACGAATTACTATTACCAAGGGTCAAGTACAGAATCAAGAAAACGGTCTTGCTTCTTGCACAGGCGTCACTCAACTCACAACTCTTCCCATGCATAAAATAGAATGACAGTGCCCGGTAGCTCTATGCCATGGCCAAGAACGAATGAATGAACCCTGCCTGGGTGGCGCCTGGAATGGTGTCTAATAAAGTCTCAGGTCAAGTGCCTTTATCATCTCCTGTCTCGGGAAGCAGCCGGGTCAGGACCCATCGCTGCGTCTACAGAAGGTCACACCGGCTGGCGAATCCCACGGGTTCCTCCCAGGCGGGGGAAGGGAGAGACCCTCGAGGTCCCCACGCAAGCCTACCTGTTGTTCCGGATGCTGAGCAGCACGCAGGACACCAGCTCCAAGTAGATGCGCAGCACTTCCAGCCAGCGAGAGGACAGCTGCATGGCCTCGCCTTCCTCGCCTCCCGTGCCCGTGTGGGCGCCGCCACCGCCGCCACCGCCGCCGTCGCCCGGGCCGCCGCCTCCGCTCAGGTAATTCTCGGCGGCGAACTCCACCCGCAGCTCCCGCACGAACCAGCCGCACTTGCGCATGAGGAACTCCAGCCGCGGCTGCTCCGCCGGCGAGACGCGGAGGCAGACGCGGAGCTGGGGCCACAGCGCCGGGTAGAAGAGGCACTCGCGCCAGTGCGAGCAGGAGGCTGAGGCCCGCAGGCGGTCGGGCGGCGGCAGGAAGGAGAAGATGTGCACGATGAGCTCGCTGGGCAGCGACGCGGCGCCGGCCGCCTGCCCGCACAGAGCCATCCGGCCCGGCCGCCCGGCCGCCCGCCGCCGCCGCAGTCCTCGCAGCAGCCCCCGCAGCCGGCGTAGCTGCCGCAGCCGCTGCCGCCGCCACCGCACCCCCCGGGCGGCCCCGGCTCGGGTTCGCGCTCCCGGCGGTCGCGGCTGCGGCACTGACAAGAACAACAACATCAATGACAAGGAGGAAGGGGGCGGAACCGTCGTGCGCCTCGGCGGAACCAAGTGCAGCGGGAGTCGGCGGACAGGGGGACGAGCTCGGGCGGGGAGGCCTGCTCGCCGCCGGCTCCCGTACCGCACGCAAGGACGCCCCGGCCAGCCCAGTTAACAACCTCCAAAGCCTCGCTGCAACCGACCCGGGGCGGAGGAGGCCGCGCCGCCTCGGAGGAAACCGCAGCTCTCTGCTATCCGGAAGCCGTGGCCCGGGAGTGGTAGGGACTGAGCCTGACGTCAGCGGCGGAGGGCGGAGTCTGGCGCCATCGTGCGCGACTTCCGGAACCAGGGAGCTCCTGCTTCCCTGGATCGCACGGCACGTGATCCAGGACGCCAGCAGGCCAGAGGGCGTGGCCGGCGGCGCAGGGGCGTGGCCACGCCTGGGGCCCCTCCTGGGCTAGTCCAGGCCCCCGCAGCGCGCTCCTGGCTGCCCCTCGCCGTGATGGGAAAGTTCCTGAGGTTTACTCATGGCTTACTCATTCGCTTGGTTGAGGTCGCCAAGCCTGAAGACCCGCGCCGACGTCTTCCTCCGTCCTCCTTGATCGGAGTAAGACAAAGTCGGCTACCGAGAGGGCGGCTTTAGGCGGCACGCGGGACTGAGTCCTCAGACTTGCAAGGCCGCTTGTGCCCTACTGAGGAACACGGAGTGACGACAGCGCCACCCTTCTTCCTCAGAGCTTAGGGGAAAAAAATGGCTAATGCTTTTCATCTTTCCAGCTGGTACCCAGACTCAAAGGCTCTCTGGATCTTATCTGCAAAAGTTCTGTGTTATTAGTATGTTTTATTAGCAACTAAGGATCATTTATTAGCAACAACAGCAGATTAGGAAGTTATGACAGAGGTTTTAATTTTCAGCTTCGTAAAGTCATTGAAGTGTTTTTGCTTTTTGTTTTTGTTTTTGGTTTTTCGCAACAGCGTTTTGGAGGCTGTCCTGGAACTTACTTTGTAGACCAGGCTGGCCTCGAACTCACAGAAATCCTTCTGCCTCTGCCTCCTGAGTGCTGGGATTAAAGGGGTGCACCACCACCTCTCGGGCATTTAAGTGTTTTTCAAGAGAGCCCCACAGACACGGATCGTCTATCAGTGTACATGCACCTTCATAACAGTGTACTCCTGTATATAAAAATAACAAGAGTTAAAATAAATATTTTAATATTAACTGATACTCCTGCGGACAAGTAGGGGAGGAGAGCTTTTCTTTAGTTTGATGTCCCCCAAAGAAAGGAGTTTTCAAGTCATAGCTCCTCAGATTCTCAGCATTCGAAGTAGCTCATTCAAGTTGTAAGAGGCATTGAAATTAGAAAGGAATACGAGATTTTATGTAATAGTTGGGGACTCCTCAATGGTGTTTGCTGCTTCAGAGCATTGGAACAGTCTCTTGCCCACACTAAGAAACTGGCTCTTCTAGATGTTTTTATCCCTGTGAGAGAAGACCATTCCACTCATACATTTCATTTAATGCATTTTGGTGTCATGCACCTAATAAGCTACCGATAATAGTATCCTGTTACCTCTGAATTTCTATGTATCTGCTACTTTTAATAAACATATATTTAAGAGAGGTTACTTCTCTGAACCCTCGCCTATAAAATTCTGTGTAATTATTATGTTTTTCAGCATCTGTGAACATTAAGACTTGGATTTGAACTTCAGTTTCAGAATTTTAAGTGTTTTTGAAGAGTGCTTTAGACTTCCCGAGAGTCACTTTAGTGGCAGGCATTCTTCGTTGTCAACTTGACAATAATTGGAATGAGCTATAATCCAGAAATATAACTCATACCTGTGAGAGATGTTTTGCTGTGCTTGAAGTGTGAAGTGTGTGATTCCACTTCTTGTCCAGACCTTTGAAGTAGGAAGACGCACCTCTGATCTGTGTCTTGAGGCAGGAAGACCATAGATTCTGCTGGAACCCTGTATAAGGACATGGAAGAAGGAAGGTTTGGCTATTTGCCTGCTTGCCCTTGCCTTGCTAGACATCCATTTCTTCACTGGCATTGGAGCCAACTTTGGGATTCCAGCATATACAGAAGACCAGCTGAGACACCCAGTCTCCTGAGACTGAGCAGCCACTAGATTCTTGAACTTTCTATTCAGGGCAGCCTGTAAGTCATTAAATTCAATTCCAAACCCATCCTCCCATACACATACAGAGATTCATTACAAAAGTTCTGTGACTCTGGAGAACCCTGACTAATGCAATCTCTATAAAAATATTGCAAAGATAACTTCACAGGTGAGAAAATTGTTTGAATATTTTCTGACATTCCATGTTCAAATTTACAAGTATTTCCTAAAATGTGGGTTTTTATTTTTTGTTTTGTTTTGTTTTTCTAGACAGGGTTTCTTTGTAGCCCTGGCTATCCTGGAACTCACTCTGTAGACCAGGCTGGACTTGAACTTGCATATATCTGCCTCCCGAGTGCCAGAATTAAAGTTGTGTGCTACCAAAACCTGGCTAATATAGTTTGAATTTTAAGTATTCTTCCTATTGTATGCTTGACAACTGATGGGTTCTGGGAGAGGAACAGTTATTGCCTTCAGTAGTGTACCTATTAGTGGGCACATCAGGCTCCAGTGAATTGTTCCAAATCCATAGGCACATATAGAGTCCTGCATGTAACTAATGGATCACAAAACAAAACAAAAAGCAGCATAAATTCTGGAAGGGCTCTGTGAAGAAGAAATGGGGATCATGAGTGAGAAGGAAACAAAGGAAGGTATGGGAGAGAGTAAACAGAATGTATTAAAATGTGTATGGAAGAACAAATTTAATCCATAAAACAGTAAATTAAAAAAGTTTCCTTGAGCAGTTTCAGTAACATGAATGGGTGTTTCAGGCTTTTTTTTTTCCTGAGTTGGATGTGATCTAGCTGGGTGAACTTTAGACAAGTTGTTTAACCTGTTCTGTCTTTGCTTTTTCGTAGGGCAGGGGTTTTGCAGCCCTGTTCTCTGACTCTTAAAAACACCCACCCACTGTTCCATTGAGATATATTTTACATGCCATAAAACTTCCATTTTCAAGTATTTAACTGAATGATCTTTAGTAATTTTGTCAAGTGATGCAACCATCAGCATAATCAGTATCAGAACATTTTCTTCCCACGAATAAGGTTTCATATATGACCAGTCCCCACTTCAGCATTTCCCAAACCATTGTATACATTTTTGCCTATGTTCCCTTTTTTGGACATTTCAGATGGAATTGTAGAATATATGGCCTCTTGGTTTTCTTTTACTCAGCAAAATATTCTGAGGTTCATTAATGATATACCACATATTCCTTTATGTTGCAAACTAGCATTGTATTCTGTATGATTGTTGTTATTGTTTTGTTCTCCCAATAGTGGATAGATATTAATTTAGATTATTTCCAGCTCAAACTGTTATAAATGTGCTGCTTTTAATTTAAGTAGCAACTGAGCCAAAGGAAATTCAGAAGTAGCAGCATGACATTATTGCCAGTCACCAAAATGCATCCAAAAACGATGAAGGCAAATATACTCTGACTGATTTGTAATTGGTAGTTTTTCCCCTAACATTTTACTAGCAATATGCTGCCTCCTTTTTGAGCAGCTTTAATAGTTAGGCTTTAATAATTAAGAATGTTATCTAAACATAAAAACTGTTTAGCATGAAATAAAAGTTTTTGTCGTTTTTATGTTCGTATTTTTATTTTCTTATTAAACAAAGATGATAGGAATACTTTTATGTGTAACTATGAACTAAGACATGAATTAATAAGATATTATCATGCCCAGCTATAATAACAAATCAGTAAATTCCAATAGTGACACAAAATTTATCAAAGCAACACACTTAATATTATCTATTGAATGTGTGTACCTAATACATTTTTTTTCTTTTGACATTAATGCACGCTAAAGGAGCAAAGTTGACTTACAAAGGTCAGGACAGAATCCCATTTCACAAAGTTATAAATCCTGAGCTATGATTCAGAGGGTGGGAGGAGGCACTGTGTTATGAAACTCATAACTACCTAGTACTACTGAGTTCCAGGTTTCAAAAGGGGCATATTGTCACTATGGCAACCACCCTGCTTATTTGGCTTTGAATGTCAGTCAACAGGTGGTTGTTAGGACTACCTCATCCAGGTAGAAGGATTGGATTGAATTACCTGTCTCTTGACAGTCAATGGGTCTGTTTTTTCATGTAATTCTTTTATAGAGATATAAGTGTTGTTTTGTGTTATTTTTCCAAAAGATAATTTAAATATTCAGTGTTTTCATATGCTTCTTTTAAAAACCTGTTAAGTTTAATTAATTAATAAGAACTTACTCCCCATTATTGCTTAAATTTGGCAACTTGTTCTGAGCTAAATACAATTTTTATAATACTGAGTCACTGGCAATTTTATATAAAAAAAATGGCCCTGAAAGAATTCATTTTATAGCTGGGCGGTGGTGGCGCACGCCTTTAATCCCAGCACTCGGGAGGCAGAGGCAGGCGGATCTCTGTGAGTTCGAGGCTGGGCTGGACCGACAGCCTCCAAAAACAATACAAAGAAACCCTGTCTCGTAAAACAAAAAAACAAAACAAAACAAAAAAAGAATTCATTTTATGATACTTAGGGCTACTGATAAAAAATTCCCCAAATTCAAACGTTTTTTGAAACAGTGATTGTAGAGTATAGTTTTCCTTGCTAGTCGCCTACCCCCTGCCACGCTGTCTGAACTCCCAAATAACACACAGGACACTATATTAATTCTAAAGCTATTGGCTGTTTGCTTGGTTTCTTACTGGTTATCTCTGACTTAAGTATTTAACCCATAATTGTTAATATAAGTATTTCTCTTACTGGAGAAAAGGGTCCGGACCTCTTACTCTTCTGGTGCCTACATGGTGTCTCTTTCTGCCTCTGTTTCTCAGAATCCTCCTTGACTCCTAGTCCCACCTATCTTGCTTCCTTATCAGCCAACCTTGCTTTATTCAACAACCAATAAGAGAGACAGATTTACAGAATGACATCTCCCATCAAGTTATTTTTTCCTCCCAGAGCAAGTCCTCATCTTAGATTATGGTGGCTGGTGAACACAGCATAACTCTCTTCCAAATGATCTCTGAGTGCATTGATAAATGTATCCAGGGGTAGCCTTTAATTCTGTCACTTGGAGTTAGAAGCAGGTGGACCTCTGTGAGTTCAAAGCCAGCCTAGCTCAGTGTTAGGTCAGCCAGGACTACACAGTGAGACTCTATCCAATAGTGAGACATGCATGCACAGGGGTCTTCTGTGAAATAGAGCTTAGAATTTGAATTTGCTTCTCTTCCTTTCTTCTGTGGTCTATAAGATGGAATTTTTTTTTTTGGAGACAGGGTTTCTCTGTGTAACAGTCCTGGCTGTTCTGGAACTCAGTTTGTAGACCAGGCCGGCCTTGAATTCACAGAGATCTGCCTGCCTCAGCCTCCAGAGTGCTGAGATTAAAGGCATGTGCCACCACTGTCAGCACTGATATCTTGTTAATCCAACAGGATGAGAATGAGATCATAGTTTAAAGCCAAATTTGAAGCAAGCTTAATTAAATATTGGCTGATGGGAGAATTCCTTCTGTGTATATGTTTGATTGGTATAAACAAAACACTGTTGGCCAATAGGGAAGCAAGATAGGTGGGACTAGGAGTGCAGGAGGATTCTAGGAAATGTAGTGAGGAGAGTCATTGTGATCCCTGGAAGAAAGAACGCAAATCTGGAGTTCTCTGAAAGATAAGTCCTAATAGAAATATATATTAGTAATTATGGGTTAATAATTAAGCCAGAGCTAGCCGATAAGAAATCGTAGCAAACAGCCAACAGCTTTATAATTAATATAGTGTCCTGTGTGTTATTTGGGGGCTAAAGCGACTACGGGACCCAAGTGGCTGGTGGGAAGAATACTCTTTACAACTGTCCAGGTTGATGGATTCTCTGGTCAGTTACATACTTGGGTTCCCAGAAAATGACCCTAAGTCACGGTTTGCAGGGGCTTAAAGTATTTCCCATCAAGTCCAATCAAGGGCAAGTATACATCCTAATGAATTTCCTGCTTGTGACGCTCCTGTCCACATGTGATCAAGCAAATTTGGTGCAGATAGATCAAACAAACTCCCATAAATAATAGCCTCTAGCATTTCAGGAACTACCTGTGCTTGGACAAGAGGTTTGTAGATCAGAGGCATTTTTGTTTCATGGATATCTTAGGCATAGTAATTAAAACTTAAAATATAACTTTGGCCTTCACAGAACTAGATTGGTGTCTGTGTTGTTACTATGAATTTCAACTTGACAGATTCTTGAATTGCTGGGATATGGGCCTTTAGGTATGCCTCTAGGGGGATTATCTCAGTTAAATTAACTAAGGTGGGAAGATTGTCCACTTTGGGTGGCATCATTCCCTGGCCAGAATCCAGAATTATATAAAATAGAGAAAACAAACTGAGCACTGTCAGTATTCCTTGCTTTTATTCTTGATTGTTGATACAATCTAATTAGCTGCTTCAAGGTCTTGTTGCTTTGACTTCCTCACCAGGATGGACTGTACTTTGAACTGTACCTTAAGGTATTTCTGTACAGTAACAGGAAAAGAAACTAAATCAGTTCCCTTGGGCGTAACAATGATCAATAACTTCTGGGCCATCTTGTAGGACCTGAGCTAAAAATGTAATGAGGACCACATCTTGATCAATACTACTTAATTATGTCGCCCAACCCTAATTATTTTTCTATTAAAGCCCAAAGTTTGTATCAATACCCTGAAGACAACTTTGGCTTTACTTTGTTTATTCTTCTGCCCATTGTACATTTAATCTTATTTCTTTGCTTTGAAAAGGAATAGGGACCAGGTGTGGTGGCACTCATCTTTAATCCCAGTGCTTGGGAAGTAGAGGCAGATGGACCTCTTGAGTTTGAGGCTGGCCTGGTCTACAAAGTGAGTTCTAGGACAGTCAAAGATAAGTAATAGAGAGACCTTGTCTCAAAAAAAAAAAACAACACCAAAGCAACTCCCCCAAAAAAAGACAGGAAGAAAGGTCTAAGCTGATGAAAATTGGCCTTTTTAGGTGGTTAGAATAGTTGGATCATCCTAGAAGTTGTTGGAAATCCATCATACTTCTTGAGACCATACAGACTTTGTCATGAAGAGGTAAATTGTGAGAAATTACTGCAATATTTTATTATAGAATTTAATATGCAACTCTTTGAAAATAATCATTTAAAAACCCTTTATAACAAAAAAAGCAGAAACAAAGTGTTCTCATACTCAAAGTATGGGACAAAAGGTTTATTTGATATGTTGATGCTAGTTGGTTTAGGGAATACTGATGATGGCAGGAGTTAAAAACTGACAGGCAGTTTAGGAGCAAGGATCTCAGAGTGAATAGTTTCCTTGTCCTTGGTCAGAAGCAGGAAATACCCTTTGGTCTCAGTTCAGGAATGCTAGAAGAGAGCTCTGATTTCTTATATCCTTCCAAGGGGTAACAATTCTGCCTAGAGGGTACATAAGGTTGTGTCCAAAATTCTAGTCCTGATGCTAATTTCTTTTGGTGACCAGCTCTAGGATTTTCTTTTTCTTTTTTCTTTCTTTCTTTTTTTTTTTTTTGGTTTGTTTTTCAAGACAGGATTTCTCTGTGGCGATTTGGTCATCCTGGAACTCACTTTGTAGACCAGGCTGGCCTAGAACTGACATAGCTCTGCCTGCCTCTGCTTCCTGAGTGCTGGGATTAAAGGTGTGTGCCACCACTGCTGGGAAAATGACTCATTTATATTTCATTCCATGTGGAAATGTCAGATCCCTTGTAACTGGAGCTACAGACAGTTGTGAGCTGCCATATGGGTGGTGGGAATTGACCCTAGATCCTTTGGAAGAGGTTAAGAGCACTGGCCAGTGGTGCTCTTAACCACTGAATCATCTCTCCAGCCCCTAGTTCTCTAGAATTTTCAAAATGAAAATAGGTTATATTTATTCTTCAATTTCAGCCCATCTCCTAATGATGTTAGGATTACCTCTTCAGAGGGGGAAATGCTATAGTAGTTTTGAAGGATAACTATGTTTTGTTGAGGCCCATTAAGACAAAGATACTTTCTTCTGGTCAAAAAAATTGAATTGTAAGTTCTGTCACTGGCCTCTGGTAGAGATCTAACATTCCAAGCTTCCCAAAACATAGGTGTTAATCTGGCTAGCTCAGTTCATCACCTGGACACCTCACTTTAACAAGAATGATTCACCTTAACCCTTGTGAAAGAGATAGGAGGAATAATTACCCCTTTCTTCATTCAATTTTCCTTCACAGTTGTCATCACCTAGCACACTATGTATTTTGCCAATTTATCATTCCTCTGTTTCACTAGAATATAGGCAGCCAGAGGTCATAACTTTGCATTTGTAGATTATTATATCCTTAATGTCAAGAGTCCTCGACACATAATTGGCATTCAAGTATTTGTTTAATGATGGAAGAACCTGACAATACTGTTCAAAGTACATAGAAAAAATACTATTATTTACCCACAAAAAACTGAGAACCAACTACTTATACAAAGCTTTTGTATTGAGGGAGGGTAGCAAACATGAACAAGATAGTGATGAAATACAAATCAACTTTAATTGAAAATAAATATTCACATGATAATTGGAAGGAAGTATTGTTTTATATTTATTTTTATGGA